AGAAGAAAAATAACTGGCATTTATGTAATACTTTAATGCTTGCAAAACAGTTTAAAGAACCACCAGGCTTCACATCTGTCCTGTCTCTGACTCCTAAGGTCATCCAAGCCTTACCATTTGCCCTGCCACTTTGCCCTCCAGACCCCAACACTGTCATCCACCTGCAGCTGAGCTCTCACTCATGTGTTGTTTCCCCCAAGTAATATGTCAGCTCCTTATAAGCAGAGACTGTCTTGCAATTTCTGCTTGTTTCTCTAGTAATTAGTCCATGGGAAGCACTTATTCAGTTCTTTTTCATTCATTCACTCGTTATCAAATTTATGCCCAAAACAGTCTCATTATGAGTAGAACCAGATAATGAGTAGAATGAGGATCCAACAGTTACACACCTAGTGTTGGAGATGAGATTTCAACTCAACCTTTCTAGATTCTAAGTCCAACAGTTTCAAATGAAGAAAGGAAGGAAGGAAGAAGGAAGCAATGAAGGAGGGAAGGAAGGAAGAAGGAAACATTGAAGGAAAAAATGAAGGAAGGAGGGAAGAAAGAAGGAAGCAATGAAGGAAAGAAGGAGGGGAAGAAGGAAGCAATGAAGGAAGGAATGATATGTATCAGCTGGATCAACCCTCACACATGAACCTCTAGGAATTCTGTGTGTCAGCATCCACTTAAAACCACTGATCACAAGCCCCTATTAATATATTTGCTTTGCCTAGGCTAACCAGAGGGAATTCATCAGAATGACAGATTAAGAGATAAAAGATAATTTAATTAGAAGCTTCTCATTTTAAAGAAGCAGAAACTGAGTCCCAGAGGGATGGAATGACTTGCAAAGACGACAAATGTTGGAATGACAATGTTGAAACAGGTACACACATCCTCTGATTCAAATCCAATGCTTTCCCCATGCTCAAAAGTGTTTTTTATTAACTTAAAGCAAAAGATATTTAATCTAAAAGAACATCAAACTAAATGACAAGGAAATATCCTCGTATTCGCAAGGGCCCAGTTACCACATTTTCAGTACAGAAAGATAGATGCAAGGTGACAAGAGGTAAGTGTGACTAGGGAATATCCATGGAGGGATACCCACAGAGAGACATCCATATAAGGGACACATGTGACCACAGCCTATAAGAAGGGACATATGTGCAGGAGACACATTCAGCACAGCAGACATAATGCAGAAGCAGTTCACAGTTGTGATGCTTCAGAGCTGAAAATATCCTTTAAGGATGTAGAGCACTGTTCTCCTTGGTTACTCTTTAGCTATTCAGCCTATCTGCTGCTCTCTGCTACCATCTACTGGACGTACAGCATCGAGTCAGCCTCTTTCTTGCAGGAGAGAGCTGAGGTACATTGGATAGATATTGTATTTTATATATTATTCAAATATTATTATATATAATTCAAACATTATTATTCCAATATTATTCAAATAATTGTATATTATTGAAGTATATTGTTTTGGATTATGACCAGTCACACCTAGACTGGTGTTTTCAAAAATGACTCAGGGGCAGCTAGGTGGCGCAGTTGGATAGAACATTGACCCTGGAGTCAGGAGGACCCGAGTTCAAATCCAATCTCAGACGTTTGACATTTACTAGCTTTGTGACCTGGGGCAAGTTGCTTAACCCCATTGCCTAGCCAAAAAACAAACAAACAAAAATGACCCAGTAAAACCAGTACTTGGTCTATTTCCAAAGATTAATTAGGGAAAATGGGAAAGAGCTTAGATGTTCAAAAAGATTTATAGCAGCTCTCTTTGTAGTGGCAAGGAAATGGAAATTACAGGGATGTCCATCAAGTGGTGAATGGCTGAATAAATTGTGGTATATGATTGTGATAGAATACTACTGCGCTATAAGAAATGATGAGCTCAATGATTTTAGGAAAATGTGGAAGGAATTGAACAAAATAATGAAGAGCAAAGTGAGCAGAACCAAGAGAACACTGTATACAGTAAAAGCAATATTACTTTAAGAATAACTTAGAGTAAATAAATTATTTTGAATATTTTAAATACCCAAAATAACTATAAAGGACATATGAAGAAAGATGTTATCTGCATCCAGAAAAAGAACTGATAATAAGAAGAAATTTACATGGTAATTTTGTTGTATATTTGAAAGGAATAACAAATTGTGCATAATAGATTTGCAGTTTCATGAGCAATCATTTTTTTTTGTTGTACTATGTTATGGAAATGATTGTTTTATTCCATAAATTCAAAAAATAGAAATAACAACAAAACAAAAACACCCAGGTCAAGATTAAGTACACTCCTTCCATTGACTCTGCTCTTTCTACAGACTTGTCCAACTGCTTTAATCTCATTTGCATCCAAGTTACAGTAAAATATACCTTTTAGTTTTCTCAACTTCCTGGTCCTGGGTTCCACTTTAGTAAACAGCAAAATAAATCAGTAAGGTTCCTATGGGAAACTTTGTGGTAAAGTGGAAATAGCACAATCAGAAGACCTGGGTTTGAATATAATCTGTGTGACCTTGGGCCAGTCACACTCTTTCTGAGCCTCAGTTATTTTATTATTAAAATTAAGGAGTTAGACTAGCTAACTTCTAAGATCCCTTATTGTGCTAAATTTATAATTGGATGATCCTATGAGGGAAATTAATTTCACAGATACCCCTGATGCTTCTCACCTTCTATAAAAATCAGTTTGGGCTGAAAAGAATGGAAGAAGATAAAAAGAGATTGTGAACTTTGCCTCACTTTCCTCCTTCATCACTCTCAAAGAACAATTGCTTTTCTGTGCTACGTTCTGGACAATACAAAACCATTAGCTTTTCTACAGAAGAATAAATGAAATTGTTGTTGTTGTTGTTGTCGTTGATTCAGTCATGACCCCATGGACCATAGAATATTAGGCTCTTTGATCCTCCACTGTCTCTCAAAGTCTAATCAAGTTCATGTTCATTGTTTCCATGATACTATCCATCCTTCTCATCCTCTGCCACCCCCTTTTCTTTTTGCCTTCTTCAATCTTTCCCAACATCAAGGTCTCTTCCAAAGAGTCCCATATTCTCATTGTATGGCCAAAATGTTTAAGCTTCAGTTTCAGTATTTGACCTTCCAGTAAATGGCCTGAATTAATTTCTTTAAGTATTGACTGATTTGACTTCGTTGCTGTCCAAAGGACTCTCAAAAGTCTTCACTAGCACTACAATTCCAAAGTGTAGATCCTGTAGTGCTCAGCTTTCTTTATAGTCCAGCTTTCACAGCCATGTATTGTCACTGGAAAAACCACAGCTTTGATTATACAGACCTTTCTTGTTGCTTTTTAGTATGCTGTCCAGATTTGCCATAGCTTTCCTTACAAGGAACCAGTGACTTTCAGTTTCTTGGCTACAGTCACCATCTGCAGTGATCTTTGAGCCCAAGAATACAGAATCTGACTGCTCCCATTTTTTCACCTTCTATTTCCCAGGAAGTGGTGGTACTAATTGCCAAGATTTTAGGGTTTTGTTTTTGGTTTTGGTTTTATGTTAAGCTTCAAGTCAGCTTTTACACTCTTTTTTCACCCTCATCAAGAGACTTCTTAATTCTTCATTTCTGCCATTAGAGTGGTGTTGTCTGAATATCTGAAATTGTTAATATTGCTCCTGCTGATCTTAATACAAGTTTTGATTCATCCGGCCCAGCATTTCACATGACGTACTCTGCATATAACTTAAATAAATAAGGTGACAATAAACAGCCTTGTCATACTCCTTTTCCAATCTGAAACCAATGAGTTCTTCCATGTTTGCTTCTAAGTGTTGCTTCTTGGCCCACATGCAGATTCTTCAGGAAACAAGGAAGATGATCTAGTACTCCCATCTTTTTGAAGACTTGCAACTTCATCTAGCTCATAAGTAAATCCTTTTTACTTTTGGTTCCTTTGTGTGTTTACCTTTGTTTCTCAGTAAGACAACATTTTAAAGATGTGAAGTCACTTATGTGGAAGTAGATGTTTCAATATTTCATGAGGGGTGTTTCCTTTCTTGGGTGAGGATTTTCTAAATTGTTCTGGAGGGAGCCTCAGAAACTTACTATCAGATCAGATGTGAGCATCTAGAGACACCTGCAACCATATGTCATTATTCATTTATACCCATCTATATTTATATATTTATACCCATCTATGTACCTAAGACAATTGTCCCGATTCTGTTTTCCTTAAGCATAGATGCATATAAACTAACAGAGCTTCTACCAGGTCAAAACAGAGTAAAACCAGCTGTTTCTACAACAAAGTGTTTCAGCAGGGCAGCTAGGTGGCACAGTGAATAGAGCACCAGCCTGAAGTCAGGAGGACCTGAGTGCAAATCCAGCCTCAGACCAAACACTTGACATTTACTGACTGTGTGACCCTGGGTAAGTCACTTAACCCCAACCGCCTAAAAAAAAAAGTGCATCAGGGACACAGGATGACAGGTTAAATTCATACAGGTGGATAGTCAAGAAGGGAAATCCCAGACAGTTGGAGTTCAAAAAGATCTGTGTTTGAACCAATGTCTCTTCTGCTATATATGGAATATCTACGTTAAAATTCTCCTAGTATTATTGAATTGTTGTGATGTTACTGTAAGACAAGCACCTTGTAATCTGAAAGCATTAAGTGCATGTAAAACATCCTTTTTATAAATCTGTATATTTTTTAAAGAATGAATAAAGAACTTAAGTAACCTCTTACTATGTGCAAAGCATTGTGTTAAGGGCTGGAGATAGAATTGTGCTCTCACAGAATTCACATTCTAACGGGATGCCTTTTAAAGACAAACGAGGGGAGGCTGAAGATTGTGAGCAAAGCAAGGGAGGAATGAAAAAGCAAGTTCATATCCGAGGCTATAAAGGTTTAGATCTAGCCTACTTGTTTCTTCTGCCAAGAAAAGTGTCCTAGCAGGCCCTTCACAAAAACTTGCTGCCTGGAGACAGATGACACATCTCAGCCTTTAAAGCTTATTGGTTCCTCTTTTAGTCACTTTTCAATGTTAGGAGACTTAAAGATACCAGCCAGGTCTTTTTCTCCAACAAGTGAGGTGCTAAGTCCTATTGATTGACTAGAGGCCCTTCATCCTGCTGTTTGCTCATTCTCACAACTCGGGCTCATCTCTAACATGGTTGATGTTTGGATCTCTGCTGGCTGCTGGAAGACCGGTCTGTTAATGACACTGATGGTGTTCAGTCTGCCTGCATCTTGGGCCAGGGACATCCCAGGTAAGTGTGGTAATACTGATCCCTGGGTTTTCCACACAGGTCATAGGGTCCTTGGTTTCCCAAGAAGAGGGTGGAAAACTTCTCTATTGTGGAATAGAGGCCACTGGTGAGACTGAGTAGGGCTCCTTCCCCAGAAAAAAGCAGTATGATCATCTGGGATAGATGGTGGAGCAGGGAGCTGTGTCAGAGTTCCAAAGACCCCAAGGCCATCCTCAGGCTACTCTGGCTGATACCAGAGTATATCAGAGTATATGTGTTTCTGTGGCCATGGACAAGGTAGTGGGACTGAGGGGACTGTTTGAGGACTGAGGAGGTTTCTGTGAGAAAATTCATCTGTCACCTGCACTATATCATCTGCGGGTTTCTCAATGCTCAGGTCAGCCCTGTTCTGCTGATTTCTCTCCTCAATTCATTGTTTACACCAATGCCAATATTCCCAGTCTTCTCACAAACCTTCTGTCTCTTCTCTTTGTCTCTAGAATCAATTCCCAATTCCTCAGTCTGACATTTAAAGCCCCCCAGCTCTCCAGTTCATTTTACTCTCCTTTGAGCACTTCTCATTCCACTTGAACTATTTAACCAGCTTTCCCCAGAATTTAACTCTCATCTCTCTGCTCCAGGTATTTGCATAAGCTGCTCCTCAATCCTTAAAATGTACTCCCTCCTCATCTCTGCCTTCTGAGCCTTCACTTCTTTCAAGGAACAACTCAAATAATTCATCTTCCATGAAAACTTCCTTAATCTCTCCAGCTTACAATGTTCTCTCTTTCCTCAGATTCCCTCGTATAATTGTCTTTTGACTACATCTAATGGGGAATCACTCTATGCTCATTGTCCTTACACCTGGAGCATCCTGGTACTACCAGGTTAGGGGAGGCCAAAGATGAGTGTGAAGATCCCCTTGCCCAGTTCTCTTCCTGTCTATGTGTGTCTTAGTTCCTTACCTTAGCTGTTCTGTCTGGTCACAGAGGAGTGACATAGCTCCAATCTAAGTGAGATGGGGGGACTTTGAAAAGAAACTAGGGTGCTGGGAGGAAGGAACAGACCTGTCCGGGGCCCTGGAACATAGCATGTTGGCACTAGGGAATTTCTCCAAGATTCCTGGTTTCCAATCAATTTTGGCCTCTTCTTTCAAATATTTCAGCCCAGCCCACTCTACCCCTAAAATCTCAACTTTTAGGCAAATGAAGGGAGTCTCTTCAAATTTCTCTTACCAATTTGTCCATTCCTCCTCTTTGACTGACTCCTTTTTTTTTTATTATTATTGTTGTTGTTATCTAGATGTCTTTCTCCCCATTTTGGACTGTAACAATGAAACGAACAGGTTCTGTGGGGTATTTTTGCATTTCCAGGACTTAAAAATGTTAGGAGGAACTTGTAGGAACTTAACAATGTTACTCTGGGTTGAAAGCACCTTTTCTTCAGCACTAGACTTCTTCCTTGCCTGCCCTAGATTACACTAACTCATTGACCATGACGTTCCTTGAACTTAGCTTATTTTTCGTCTTTAAACCCTTCACCTATTTTTCTACCAATGTGGGATATGGACTGGAAGTTATTAAGCAAAGTGGTTTTGTGGAAAAGATAACTGAGTCTGCAATCAGAGGACTTGTGTTGCACCCCCAGCTGTGATACTTACTAGCCTAGTGTCCCTGGGTAAGTCATTTCAGCAGGCTGTTCCTCAGTTCCTTCCTGTATAAAAGTGGGGTACTGGACTAAGTGAACCTGATGTTGGGTTGGTAAGTAGGAATTTTTTCAAGTAGAACAGAAACAGTTGGGGTAGGACAATTGTGTCAGTGTGAAGGACATATGTTGACCCCTGTAGTTGTACTGGGAAATAGGGGCAGGTTGCTCAGATTACAGGGGTAGGGGTTTTTTCCAGGGGCAGAGGGCTTGGTTCAGGCAGGAGGAAAGCCCTGGAAGAGAGTGAGGTCTTGATAAGGGGCAGGAGGAGGATCATGAGGGGATTTCCCAGAAGGAGGAAGGAGCTCAGCCCCTTCTCTTGCCCTAGTTGTGTCTGTGCCTCTAAGATAGAACTTTCTGTGGCTCCCCTCACTTCCCATTCCCACCTTCTCCACTTGTGATGATTCTATGTGAGGGTTGTGTCTATGTGAATCTGTGTACACGTGGGTGTGTGTGGGTGTGTGTGGGTGTGTGTGTGGGTGTCTGTGTGTGTGTCTGTGTGTGTGTGTGTTTTGGGTGGGGCTGGAAGTAGGAAGCCACAAGCTATTACACGTTTCCGGGATCATCTTTATAGGGAGACAGCTGCCTCTCTGAGCCTCCAGACCCAAAGATGGCTCCCAATCCTCCAGGGCAGAGGGGTGGGGGGGCAGGGGCGGGGCAGGGTCGTGGCCTCCCTGTCCCAGGATGGGCCGAACCAGCGACCCCTCCCCCGGGCTGTGAGGAGGGAGGAGGAGCCGGGAGCAAAGGGCTCAGAGAGGCAGGCCATGCAGCTGACCAGAGAGGCGCTGAAGGCCGGCGGTCCTCGCCTGGTCACTGGGGCTGCCGCTGGTCAGTCTGCCGGCGGCTGACGCTGCTCGGGTCCGTCCGCAGAGGATTTCGTGTTGCACTACATGGGAGAGTGTTACTTCACCAACGGCACGGAGCGGGTGCGGCATGTGTTTAGAGTCATGTACAACGGCCAGGAATTTGTCCGCTTCGACAGCGACGTGGGGGAGTTCGTGGCTGTGACGGAGCTGGGGCGGCCCGCTGCTAAGTACTGGAACAGTCAGGAGGACTACCTGGAGGAACAACGAGCCTACGTTGACACGGTGTGCAGACACAACTACGAGGTAGACAAGCCCTTCACGGTGGACAGAAGAGGTGAGTGACCCCGACCCTCACTCCCTGACCTCCGGGGCCGGGGCTGGGACCGAGGGAGGGTGGGCCCCTGACCCCAGACTGAACGTGTGTCCTGAGCTGACCCAGAGGAGGCTGGACCCCCGCCCCCACCCCGGACAGGACCCCCCCCCACATACCCCGTACCCCCAAGGGGCTTCTGCCAAAGCCAGGGCTGAGGGGACCTTGTGCGGACCCGGATGGGGACGATGGGAGCCTGGAGGGCCTGACCCGCCCTGGACAAGGGAGGGCATCGCTGAGCCTGTGCTGGACAACTCTGGGGGAGGCCTTCAGGGCCTGACAGCCAGGGGGACCCTCATCAGAAGGAAGGGGCTGTTTCTAGAAAAAAAAAGCTTCTCTGTCTTCTGACACGTTGCCTCTGTCTCTGTCTCTGTCTCTGTCTCTGTCTCTGTCTCTGTCTCTCTCTCTCTCTCACACCCCGCCTCAGTCCAGCCCAGAGTGACCATCTCCCCCTCCAAGACAGAGGCCCTGCAGCACCTGCTGGTCTGCTCTGTCACTGGCTTCTATCCAAGCAAGATCAAGGTCACCTGGCTCAAGAACGGGCAGGAGGAGACAGCTGGGGTTGTGTCCACGGGTCTGATACAACATGGAGACTGGACCTACCAGACCCTGGTCATGTTGGAAATGATTCCCCAGAGCAGAGACGTCTACACCTGCAGTGTGGAGCATGCCAGCCTACAGAGCCCCATCAGTGTGGAATGGAGTGAGAGCCAACTCCCTTACTCAGTCCCCATCCTGCCCTGCCGTTAAACCCCAGTACAGGGAGTTCCATAGCTCTGGAGGTCCTACAGTGAATGTTCTCACAGACCCCCTTCCTATGCCCTGGATCATATGCTTTCTGCTCCTTGTCCCAGCATAGCTTCCTGGCTGCAGCATCGAGCTAGCATCCACAGAACCCTGGTACTTTGTGGAAACACATTCCTCAACAGGAGGAACTTGCAGAATCTTCGTCCATCCTCTCCTGGGGATCTGAATTCCCTTGACTGTCCCTTACCCTAGAAGATAGATCATCTATACCTCTGACAATTCACTCTTTTTATGTCTCTGGGATCAAGAAATGGGAAATGTCCTCAGAAAAGCAGTCATTCTCCCTGCCCCCGACTCTGACCTCCCTTGGCCTTTTTCCTTCCATTTCTCACTCAATGGAGTCAGAGCAGGAATCCAGGCTTCTGTTCCCCCTCACCTCTCAATTTCTTAGTGCCCCCCAAACCAGGCTGGGCTCCTCAGTTTTAGGTGACTGGTAGAGGGTGGGATGGAGAGGACTGATAAGTGATGACCCCAAGATATGTTCTCTTCAGGGGCACAGTCTGACTCTGCCCAGAGCAAATTGCTGAGTGGAATTGGAGGCTTTGTCCTGGGGCTCATCTTCCTAGGTGTAGGACTGTTCATCCACCTGAAGAACCAGAAAGGTGAGAAGTATGTAGGGGAAGGCAATGGGGCTCTGGCTTTGGCCCCAGCTCCTGCCTCTTACTCCATAGAGGGAGCTTATCTCAAGAGGTCAGATACAAAGCCAAGGGGTGGGAAACATTAGGATCAATATTTCCCAAACCAAAGCCAACCTGGAGTAAGAGGATTCGGTGCCTGAGGGATACAGTGAGAGCCAAATGCTGAGCCTGACAAAGAGGGGAGACATCTCAGGCTTTTACAGCCCTGAACTTCCCTTCTCTTTTGTTATGAGTAGAATTCCTCAGACATAATGGGGTTAAAGTTTAGGGTCCCTCTTGTTGGGGGAGTAGATGAGCATCCTAACTCTAGGGTAGAAATCCTCCTTACTTCTAGGATATGACTGTGACCTTGTATTTTTCTCTTTCTCCTTCTTCCACTGCCTCCTCAGGACGCACTGGGCCTCAGCCTGCAGGTAATATCCCTTTTCCTTTGTGGCCAAGGATCATAATTCTCCATTCCTAAGCTCACAGACTATAGGAATGAGTGTGACTTTGGTTCTGTCTCTCTCTTACTAGGCTCTTTTGCTCCCTAATTGGGGCATCAACAGCTCGTTAGGATGGGAGGGGGAGTGGGAGAATGAGTGATATTTTACCCTATTGCTACAAGAAGTTTCCAGGACTATTCTCAAAATATCCCATGATTCAGCAGAAGTCCTGCTTCAGGCAGTATCCCTTGCTTTTGAGATCAGAGTTTTCAGAGACACTCAGGATTCCAGAGGGCAGGAGAAGAAAAATCTACGTTTTAATAAGAAAAATGGGTAAATCTCTTTGGGTAGTGATTTGAGGGCACAGGAAGGGTTAATGGGAACTCTACCTCCAAGGCACCATCAGGCTTCCCCTCCACTTGGAGAAGTAGAGCTGCTGCTGGAAGAATCTGTAGTCTGTAATGACTCTCTTACTCCATGCAGGCCTGCTGAGATGAACCTTTGGATTGCATGCTTCAAAGAGAGTGCCTCCCATCCCTGCTCTCCTGTGCAGGGTCCCCAGTCATCCAGGAGGGAGGAACAGCTGAGTCATTGTCCTGGAGCCAGCTTTCTCCTGTGCCTGGAGGCCATTTGCCATCCTCTTTCTCCCAAAAGACCCTGCAGTTTCTACTTTCTGTTCTGGATGTTTTCTACCCTCTATTGGTTCAGAGCGTCAGGGAGAAGGAAGTCTGCTTCCGCTGTCCCCATACAGACGCCTTCTTAGTTACGCTGCTACCTTTTCAGCATTAACTCCATTTATTTCTCTGTATTCTTCCTAAATAAATAATGTGTCATCTGTATCATTCATTATGCCCCTGGGATTGCTGGAGGAGTCATATAAAAAAAAAATAAGGAGGAGCGGCTAGGAAGGGGCCCTGCTCTATGCAAAGGGAAGGAAGAGGCATCTGGTAAAAAGAGCCTGGGACTGAGACCTGGCCCACGTCAAGTGTTATAAGCTGCAGCTGGTCATGTTTTGGCCCTTGTATCCTACATGGTTGCAAGCATAGTGCTTTGTATACAGTGAGTGCTTAAGAATTCTTAGTTGAATGAAAAGATTTTGTGAGAAAGGGGCCCCTTACTATGTCTGTCCACATTCCCCTTGTTATTTTGTGGAATTGAGAGGATGCCATAAATGGGGAGAGCTTAGTGGGAGGGCTGAGTAAACCCAAGTTAGTTTACAGTGTTTCTTTCTACTGAGGGTGGTTCACCATCCCTGTTTCACTCTCTGTTTGTAGGTCCAGGCTTCCAGGTTCCTTATCTATTCTAGGACTGAAAGGATCTCATGTGTAAAACCAATGAGTCACCTCTCTCTGACCAGTTAGCTCACTTTCTGTCTTTTTCCTCCATATTTAGTCTTCCTTTCTCTCACTTGAGAGTTTTTGTCCCTACTGACAGAATTAGTTCAAATCTAGTCAACATTAAGCACCAACTATGAAGACCCAGCTTAAGAAGGTCTTAGAGCAAACCTGCACAACTTGGCATTGGTAGGGGCCTAAATTAAAATAGGCTGAACTTCTTTGGGCAGCAGATAGATTTTTAGTGGCTTATTTTCCAAGTGAAAGTATAATTCATGATTCAACTATTTTGCAAATAAACCATATTTTTAAAAAGAGAAATTTCAATTAATATCAATTAATTCCACTTACTACTTAAGATTTTTATTCATCATGAAATCGCTTCTCTCAGGCTAGAGACAAACTGACAATATTGGTTGCCACAGGTCACGTGCCAATCAGGAGAGAGTGCACAGTGGCAATCTACCCACTAAGTTACACGACAGGCACAAAATTGGCTAGTGGAAAGTGGGTTATTCAGGGCATGGACAAAGCACTTGTTACTTCTTATCTTTCTTTTACATCTTCTACATTTTTCCTGGGCCACCCGAAATCCACGGGCCATATGTTGTGCAGGCCTGTCTTAGAGATTCTCTTATGGACAATGCTAGTCTTTGCCTTCTGGAAGGGATGCTTTTACCTGGGAGATCGGGGCAAACTTCATGAAGGAAGAGGCACCTGAGGTGGATTTTTGAAGGAAGAGAAAGATAGATTTGGGAATAGGTTGGGGTTGGGTGGTAGGGAGCAGAGAGAAGGGAAGGTGATACTTATTCCAAGCAGAAGAGCGGTATGCCTTCCATGTGGATAAGAGAAGAATGAGGGATTAAAAAGTTTTCCAGTTTGTTTAGAAGACAGAATTTTGAGAAATGGTATAAGATCAAGGTACATAGATATTGGGACTGTGTTTTAGAGGCCCTGACTGTCAAGAGTAAGCCATTTAATTTGTATATGGTAGGTGATGGGAAACCACTAAAGATTCCTCATTTTAACCCATATTAAATTAACCTTAATTAAGCATGGAAATACTCCTACTAAAGGTGACTAACAATGCAGTTCAAGTTAAAGACAAGTAATAAGTTGGACATTTTGCCTAGGACTGGCCCTTCAGCCCAAATTTTATCTACTTGAAAAGTTAATGCCTTATTGATAGTTATGGAAATGATTTCATTTCAGCAAAATAATTACTTTTTTTTGGCTTTTTCTTTTTATTCCTCACTTAATAGTATTTTATTTTTTCCAATTACATGTAAAGATAGTTTTCAACATTCACTTTTATAAGATTTTTGAGTTCCACATTTTTTTCTCCTTCCTTTTCTCTCCTTCCCTCTCCCCAAGATAGCAAAAAGTCTGATATAGGTTATACATGTACAATCATATTAAACATATTTCCACATTAGTCATGTTGTGAAAGAAGAATCAGAACAAAAAGGGAAAACCACAAGAAAAAAATACAACAAAAAATGAAAACAGTATGCTTTGATTTGCATTCAAACTCCTTAATTCTTTCTCTGGATGTGGAGAGCATTTTCCATCATGAGTCTTTTGGAATTGTCTTAGATCATTGTATTACTGAGAAGAGCCAAATTTATCAAAGTTGAATATCGCACAATGTTGCTGTTACTGTGTACAATGTTCTCCTGGTTCTGCTCAATTCACTCAGCAACATTCCATTGTAAGTCTTTCCAGGTTTTTCTGAAATCTGCCTGCTCATCGTTTCTTATAGCACAATAGTATTCAGCCATTCCCTAATTGATGGGCATGCCCTCAATTTCCAGTTCTTTGTCACCACAAAAAGAGCTGCTATAAACATTTTTGTACATGTGGGTCTTTTTCCATTTTTTATGATCTCTTTAGGATACAGACCTAGTAATGGTATTCCTGGATCAAAGAGTATGCACAGTTTTAGAGCCCTTTGGGCATAGTTCCAAATTGCTCTTCAGAATGGTTGAATCAGTTCACAACTCCACCGACAATGCATTGGTGTTCCAATTTCCCCACATTTCTCATTTTCCTTTTGTGTCCTATTAGCCAAATGGGTAGATGTGAAATGGTACCTCAGAGTTGTTTTAATTTGCATTTCTCTAATCAATAGTGATTTAGAGCACTTCTTTATATGCCTTTAGATAGATTGGATTTCTTCAACTAAAAACTGACTATTCTTATCCTATGACCATTTATCAATGGTCATTTTGGGAATGACTTATTCTTATAAATTTAAATCAGTTTTCTGTATATTTTAACAATGAGGCTTTTATCCAATAAACTGGCAGTAAAAATTATTTCCCAGCTTTCTGCTTTCCTTCTCATCTTGGCTGCATTGGCTTTTTAATTTAATATAATCAAAACCTTTTAAATTTAATGTAATCAAAACTATCTATTTTGCATTTCATTATGTTCTCTATCTCTTTTTTCTTCATAAATTCTTCCCTTCTCCATAGATCTGACAGGTAAACTGTTTCTTGCTCTCCTAATTTGCTTATGGTATCACCCTTTATGTCTAAACCATGTACCCATTTGACCTTGTCTTGGTATACAGTATAAGATGTTGGTCTATGCCTAGTTTCTGTCATACTATTTTCCAATTTTCCCAGCAGTTTTTGTCAAAGAGTGAGTTCTTATCCCAGAAGCTAGAGTCTTTGGGCTTATCAAACAATAGATTCCTATAGTTATTGACTACTGTGTCTTATGTACCTAACCTATTCCACTGATCCACCACTCTATTTCTTATCCAGTACCAGATGGTTTTGATGATTGCTGCTGCATAATATGGTATTATATCTGGAATGACTAGGCCACTTTCCTTTGTATTTTTTTCTATTAATTCCCATGATATTCTTGACCTTTTGTTCTTGCAGATGAATTTTGTTATTACTTTTTCTAGCTCTATAAATAATTTTTGGGAGTTTGATTGTTATGGCATTGAATAAGTAAATTAATTAAGTAGAATTGGCATTTTTATCATATTAGTTCAGCCTACCCATGAGCAATTGACAATTTTCCAATTATTTAGATCTGACTTTATTTTTATGAAAAGCGTTTTGTAATAGTGTTCATATAGTTCCTGAGTTTGTCTTGGCAGGCAGACTCCCAAATAATTGATATTGTCTACATTTATTTTAAATGGAATTTCTCTTTCTATCTCTTGCTGCTGGGCTTTGTTAGTAATATAGAGAAATATCAATCATTTATGTGGATTTATTTTCTATCCTGCAACCTTGCTGAATTTGTTTATTATTTCAAGTCATTTTTTACTTGATTCTCTAGGATTCTCTAAGTATACCATCATGTCATCTACAGAGAGTGATGGTTTTGTTTCCTTATTGCCCATTCTAATTCCTTCAACTTCAGCAAAATTATTAAGAACTTACTATTGCAAGACATTCAGGAAAGTCACCGCAATAAATGTTTTGTTCAGTCCTGGGCACCCTATCCCCCCATTTTTTTTCAGCTGTTGTGAAAAGATGTAGATTTTCACAGAACCAGACCATAAATTAATCAAAAAACATTTATTAAATACTTGCTGTGTTCCATGTGCTGTGCTAGTTGCTGGAGATAAAAACACACAAAAATCAAGCAGTGCCTGGCCTGAAGAAACTTCTAATTTGTCTAGGAAAACAACATGATGAAGTAACAACAAACCTGAGCTGGGGCAGAGGCCTAGGGATGCCCTGTCCCAGGAAGGGGCCCCTCCACTCTGGGCTGCCTCAGGTACTGGGTATAGTCCTGGGGGAGTGCAGCCTCAAAAGAAGGGGTCAGGGTCTTTGCTGTGCTGGCTCTAAGCTCCATGATGAAGCCCAAGGGAAAACTACTTCAAACTTACATTTTACTTAAGTCAAGGGTCTCCTCCAAAAAGAGCAGAACATATTCAATGTGTAATGTTGATCTGATGCAGGACACAAAATGGTTTCATTCACACAAAATAGATGATTACCACATAAAGACTCCTAATTGCACAACTAAACAACTCCTTTAAGGCCCACGTCACCTGGCAAGCCCTGCCAAGGTTTGACCACTCTTCTCAAGGATGGCTGACCAACTTCTCCAAGAAAGATTGTACTTGTTCCAGAGGCTCCTCCAAACGTGCAGTCAGAACTGACACAGAAATACGACAGCACTAGACCTGCTGAAGTCATGGGCTTGCTTTTATTATGATTCTGAAATAAAGTATAAATTATTGGCAAGAGCCAAAGTTTCAGTCAGGAAGGAGGTTTAGTA